AACAGGAAGAAAACAGTAAAAAGAAGGAATCTCAAAATATTAGGAAGGATAAAGATACATGGTAAACAAAACTGTGGGTATATGTAATAGACTTCCCTTTGCCTCATGAATTTTCTAAATTTTGTTTGGTGGTTGAAGTAAAAATTTTAACCCTGCTGTGGTTCTGAATGGATAGAGAAAATATTTTAGGTAATTATAAATGAGCAAGGGCAAAGGGATATAAAAGGAGGTAAAGTTTCTCACGTCACTCAAACTTGTAACAAAATAAATTTAGTAGACCATGATAAGTTACATAAATATAATAACTAGAACAACTACTAAGAAAGCTATACAAGGGGATACATTCAAAACATAAAGATAAAATGGAATCCTAAAATGTTTAACCAACAGGAAGGCAAGAAAAAGAAAACAGAAAAACTAAGAGAAGAAACAGAACAAAAGTGACTTAATGTATCAATAATCATAATAAATGTAAATAGTCTGAATACATGAATTAAAAAACAGATTTATAGTGTAGATTTTAAAAATGATCTAACACTTACTGATGGTCCCCAGCTTAAAATGGTTGAACTTGGATGGTTTTTCAACTTAACGGTGGGTTGTAAGTCAAAGTCTCCTTATGACTTAATGTGGTCATGGTTTTACTGTATGCATATCACTTTTTACCATTGTAAAGTTGAAAAGTTGTAACTTGAACCATCACAAGTCAGGGTCCATATGCTGTGTTGCCAGTATAAAATGCATTTTTTACTTTTCATGAGTTTATTGTAATGTAATTGCATCATAAGTCAAGAACTGTATGATGTCTGTAAGAAACTCCAAGTATAACAGTATAGGATATAAAAAGATATATCATGGAATCATTAATTAAAAATAGGAGTGGCAGTATTATTATCAGGTAGAGCAGACTTCAGGGCAAAGGAAATAGCAAAGAAAAATAGCAGATTTACATATAGAAAGATTTTATACTGATAAAAGAGGTCAACCCAGCAAGAAGACACAGGAATGCTAAATGTATGTACACTAGAGGTGCAGAATGTGTGAAACCAAAATTGATATAACTAAAAGGAGAAATAGATAAATCTATAATTTTAGTTGGTGACTTCATACCCCTCTCTCAACAATTGTTAGAACAATTAAAAAATCAGCAAGGATAAATAACCCAATAACACAATCAACCAACAGAACCTAAATAACATTTATAAAACATGCCACCCAAGGAGAACACCTGGACATATTCTTTTGAAGTATTCACTGAATATATGTAAGTGCTCACTGAATGTATATAAGATAGACAATATCTTGGGCTATAAAGTAAATCTCAACGAACTTTTACAACTTGAAAATGTAACGAGTGAGTTCTCTGACCACAGTAGAATCAAACTAGAAATTAATAACAGAAAATAACAGGGAAATCTTCAAACACTTGGAAATGAAATGACATACTTCAAAAAATTTATGGGTCAAGGTGGAAATTTCGATGAAAGCATTTTAGTGAGATGAGATTTCAAAAAATACATTGCATGAAAATGAAAATGCAGGATATCAAAAATTTTAGGACACAGCTAAAGCAGTGCCAAGAAAAATTTGTAGCACTAAATGCATGCATTAGAAATGAGGGAACAAGTCAGTAATGTGCCCTCCCACCTCTACCTCCAGAACCTGGAAAAAGAGTATTGGAATAAAAGTAAAGCAAGCAGAAGGAAGGAAATAATAAACATAGCAGAAATTGAAAACAAAAATAATAGAGAAAATCAGTGAAACAAAGAACTGGTTCTTTGAAAAGATAATAAAATTGGCCAACTTCTAGCAAGACTGACAAAAAAGATGGAACATACAAATTGTTCTTATCTCAGGAATGAAATAAAAATATCATTGATGATGACCTTGCAGACATTAGAAAGGAAATAAGATAACCCTTTGAACAACTCTACCCTGATGAATTTGACAATGCAGATGAAATGGATCAATTTCTTAAAAGGCACAAACTACCACAGCTTATTTAATGCGAAATTGGCAGTTTCTATAGACCTGTAACTGTTAGGGAAATTGAATTCGTAATTTTAAAATTCCTAAAATGAATTGTTAACTAGAGAATTTTACCAGGTGTTTAAAGAAGAATTCATACCAATTCTACATAATGTCTTCCCAAAAAATGGAAGAGGAGTGTTACCAATAGGGGAAGCTTGGTTAAGGATACCCAGGATCCCTCTATATTAATCCTTATAAGAATTCCTTTTGAACCTACCATTATCTGAAAAAGTTGAATTTTAAAACCAAGTAACTGAAGAAAGAAATCTTATACAGAGGAACAAAGAGTGACAACAGATTTATTTTTACAGGTAATACAGCCAGAAGACAGTAGAACAATATGTTTACTGAAAGAAAAAGTAAACCTAGGCAGTTTGATTCTCTTACCCATATCCCTATGCTGTATTGTAAAGGTAATAAAAACAAAGATGGAGTAATTAGATAACACTACCATTCCCTATTTTGTGCCTCGGAGAATTGAAGTGCTGTCATTTTTCTGAAAAGGAAATCATCACTGTTCCTAGTTCCTAATCGGTTTCTGTTTAGTTTCCTTTACTTCAACAACTTTTTAAAAAGTAAAATTAGTTAACACATTGTCTTATCTGTCAAGTAAGTTTGTATTTGAGAGGTAACTGCAATACAGGAAGATTTAGATAAAGTTCATAAAAGTGAAATGTAAACAAAGCCCTTTGGAAATGCAGAGGAAAGATTGAGCACACAAAAAATTGAGGACATCAAGGAAGATGACGTGAGTCTGACTGAGAATGGTGGAAAAGGAAAGAGCTGAGGCTGTATCCAAGATTTGTGTCAAATGTCTGGGACATGAGTGGTGTTACGGCAGTGACTGAATGTAATAAGCTCTGCATCAGCAGAGGTTTTGCGTTTATTTGCTTATCTGCTGGATTGTATGCTTACTACCTAAAACAGTATTGGGGAGTTAGTAAGTACTCAGTAAATATTTGTTGCATGGATAAATAAATGAATAGCAAAATTAGAAGGCAGTTTTGGCTAGAATGATTTGATAGGTCTGATTTAGGAGTTATAAACATGGAATCTAATTCTCAGTTATCAGCTAGCTGTCATCCAGTCTCATGGCTTCAACTATCACTTTAGCTATCACACAGATGCCTCTGAAAACATGTGAGAAAAAACCCAATAATACAGGAAATATGCAGGTCAAGAACATTAGCTGTGTGAGCCCATGTGTAAAATGGGAATTATGAGAGAAATTATTGTTAATATTGATTTTACATGCAGAGCACTTAGCTCAGTATTTGATCCAGAGTAAGTACTCAGTGAAGGGCCCCATTGTTTGAACCTGAGTTACACATTGGCTACTGACCTAGATGAGCCATCATACTTCTAATATAGCACATTAAAACCATATTTAAGTTACCTTATATAAAAGCTAAATAGTATCTTAAAGATCAACCAGCCCAAGTTCTTCATTTAAACTGAGGACAGAATGAAATATGACTTGTACATCATAAAGCTAGTTGAAGGAAAAAAAAATGCAGTGGATAAAAAGGTAATCAGGGACCAAACTAGGAGGTAATAGTCATTTATAAAGCATGGGAAGAAAAATAGGAGAGAAACACTAATTAGCTGAGCTTTTCAGGGCTTAACTCTAAATGCTACAGCTTCCTTCAAGGATAAATTTTATTCTCTGGAAAATAATATTTGTCTGCTGGATAGCTCTACCTATATTTCTCATTGGCATTTTAAATTCAGCATGTCCAAAACCAAATTGGAATCACTATGTGTTAAAATTTAAAAAGTTGTTAAGAGTGTATCTAATTCAGTTTCCCATTTTATGGGTGTGGAGAACAAATCCTGCCCTGGGCTGGAGGTCTTACACTTTTTAGATTCATTGATAGTGCTGTGATCAAAAAGTTGTTTCTTGGACCACTTTTGCCTAGGTTGCAGAGCATTTCTATAGGTTTTTTTGAGGGGGGCTTACAGTGAGCCTTTCAGAAAGTTCATCCTGGCTACAAACAACCCCTGGTCTTGTTTTGAGCAGTGGTTTTCAACTTCCTTTTAAAAAACAAAAAACCTAGTTTAATCTTTTTCTTAAGTTGAATCATATGAGGAAACCCCCCAAAAGAGACTAAAAATAAAAGCCTCTGAATTTGGTGGTGATGGTGTTAAGGGATAGATAGTTGGGGAGATCAGGAAAGGGCAAGAATGAGTTCTACCCTGATTGCTTGCCCCTGGTCCCCAGAGGTGAGGAGCATCTGAAATCCTTCAGAGGTTAGGAAACAATTTGAAACCCACTGATTTGGAGGCCTACAAAGTCCAGCAGTGATAGTTGGCATGAATGACAAGACCATTGGTGTCTCTTCTCTACAAGTTCCCCAGTGACTTTAACACCTGCCCTGGAGTAATGATTTTTCAATTCTTCTTGAATATAAGAACTAAGAACTAGGCCATCATTACAATTAGGACTTTAATAAACTCTCAGCTGTCATTTAAAAACTCTCATCAATCACATTTTCTTTTATGTATATAGACAGGTAGTTTTTGTGTGAAATGAATTGCCCTGACGTAGATAATTTTATTAGTATAGACATAGCTCAAGAATTAGTCATGTGAGGAGAAAGCTTAGCTGTAGTCAGAGTTTTGGTCTTGCATGAACCCCCGTAATGTTTTCATGACTTTTAAAATACTTGATGTGTTTTTAATAATTATTTTTATAGCATTCTAATTTTAAATTTTGGCCAGCAACTGATTAAACCCTGTGCTAGATACCACATGAAGATGGGTGAAAACAGGACACAGTCCTTGCCCTTACATTTGAGTCATACCAAGAACAGAAAGAAGGTGATAGTTAAAAATTTTTCCTTTGTACTTTGTTTCAGCACCTGAGCTTAGATTTTGTGCAATTTTTAATTTTACTGACCTGTAAAGTATGTTCATAACTGAAAATTTAATAATTTAACCTTGTATGCTTTCTTTCAAATTATTATTAGATTGCAAGACTGGAGGAAGATAAAGAAGAACTGCGTAACCAGCTGCTTAATGTTGATCTCACAAGAGACAGCAAAAGAGTGGAGCAACTTACTCGAGAAAAAGTCTGTTTGTGTCAAAAATTAAAAGGTTTAGAGGCTGAAGTAGCAGAATTAAGGGCTGAAAAGGAGAATTCTGGCACTCAGGTAGAAAATGTCCAAAGAATACAGGTGCGGCAGTTGGCTGAGATGCAGGCTACAGTCAGGTCCCTGGAGGTAAGATTCTAATTACTTCCCAGTAGAGTACGGCATACTTTTTTAAAGTGCAGTTGACAAGCGTCTGATTTTTAGAGCATAAATGTATGCTTTTCAAGCTAATGCTGGCACATTGGTGTAATCCCAAGAGTATTTATTTTCGTAAAGAAGAAAGCTATTGATTCATAAGCAATGAATATGCTACCACATTTACAAAGGGATATTTATTATTTCAGAGTCAAATCACATATCTGAAATGCCGTAACTCGTATAATGCCACATAGTAGAATATGCAAAATAAAAGTATATGTATTTGGTTTCTGAGGCTAAAGTCATCTCAAACCAGAAAGAATAATTTCTTCCAAGATAGCACATTCCTTACACCGGGATTTGAGATCTTAAAATCATAAATCCTGTTTGAACAGAAATACCATACTGATATATCTCATGACAAATTCTTGTGAGAGTAGTAAAATTCAGCTTTAAAACTATACATGCCTTTACAGAATTATTTCCCTGGGTTCATTAGAGAAAGATAAGTGATGACAGACCAGACTGGTACTCCTAGAGGTATAGCCTTTTGATAATTCTTGGTTTCCATTTTATTCAGATATACTTATTCTTGTTCTTAGTGCCTAACTTGTAGCAAACATACGTGTTTAATTGTTTTGATTTATTTTATGCAGTTCAGACTGTTTGTTTTTCCCTTTGGGATAGTTATGAAATAATTTGGGTTGAGGGGACATTAGCGGGTTTTTAATTTGTAGTTAAAATGAATATCCAAGTCCAAGTTGTTGATTTTTTTCCCCCTGCCAATGGTACAGGAGTACATTGGTATGTTTTGAAGAGTATAAACTACTTTTAAATTTTTTACATGATGCTTCTGTCAGTATTTACTGGTTTTCTGAATTAGAAGATGTTAGTATCATTGGATCTTAAACATGAAGCAGTTCAGAGTGAGATTGTTTATGTTGCTATGCTTCTGTCCTTAATGTATTCTACACAGTGACAGAATAAGTGAGGTGATTGCAGTTGAATATAGTATACAGTCCTGATGTGAAACTTCCCATTGAGGTCCTTTAGAGTGAATATTTTCAGGGCAAGTTGAATGATGACAGAAAATTTATTTGTGACATTTTCGGAAGAGCCCATATTTAATTTTATTATTTGTCAGATGAAATGAAAATAAGCACATGACAGCAAGCATTTCTTTCTTCTTTAACTTTCTTGGCTATAATTGTGCCCAGAGAGTATTATTTCATATATGAAGAAAATAGTTTTTTCTCCTAATTATTTGTCGAATATAGTTCTTATCATATTTAAGATAAATGTTCCCAAACTTAAGGTGGTTTAAGATTTTTTGAGTATATGATGGTGTGAAAGCCATATATGTATTTATGTACTTTGAATTTTGATCTTTTCCTGGGTTATTGATAGGTGGTATGATACTCTCAATGCTGGGCAGCTGCACTGAGCCACAGTTCCTTCCCAGTCAGTCACGTGATCTTGAGGGTAAATAACCTCTTTACAGAGTACTGTGTCGCCAGATGATTTTTCCCAACTGTAGGCTAATCCATATGTTTTGAGGATGCTTAAGGTAGGCTCATCTAAATTACTGTGTTCAGTAGGTTAGGTTGTATTAATTGTATTTTGGACTTAGATATTTTCAATCTGTGATGGGTTTATCAGGGTATAACCCCAGCATAAGTCGAGGAGCATCTATATATAGGAAATGAGATGTTATAAAACTGAAGCTTATCCTTTAAATGCCAAAATGTTTTCATTTTAATTATGTTGAGGCTGGGTGTGGTGGTTCACGCTTGTAATCCTAGCACTTTGGGAGGCTAAGGTGGATGGATCACCTGAGCTCAGGAGTTTGAGATGAGCCTAGACAATATGGTGAAACCCTGTCTTTACAAAAAATACAAAAATTAGCCAGGTGCCATGGTGTGTGCCTGAAGTCCCAGCTATTTGGGAAGCTGAGGAAGGAGAATTGCATGAGCCCAAGAGGCAGAGGTTGCAGTAAGCCAAGATTGTGCCATTGTACTCTAGCGTGGGAGACAGAGTGAGACCGTGCCAAAAAAATAAAAAAAAGGACTTCTGGGCAGGATGGCCAAATAGGATCAGCTCCGGTCTGTAGCTCCCCAGTGAGATAGACACAGAAGGCGAGTGGTTTCTGCATTTCCAACTGAGGTATCTGGTTCATCTCATTGGGACTGGTTGGACAGTGAGTACAGCCCACAGAGGGTGAGCTCAAGTGGGGTGGAGTGTTGCCTCACCCAGGAAGTGCTAGAGGTTGAGGGATTCAACCGCCCCTAGCCAAGGGAAGCCCTGAGACACAGTACTGGGTGGAATGGTACATTCTGGCTCAGATACTGCACTTTCCCTGCAGTCTTCCTAACCATAGACCGGGAGATTCCCTCTGGTGCATACGCCACTAGGAGCCTGGGATTCAAGCACAAAACTGGGCAGCCGTTTGGATAAACAGTGAGCTAGCAGCAGGAGAGTGTTTTGTTCATACCCCAGCGACACCTGGAATGCCAGCAAGACAGAACCATTTACTACCCTGGAAAGAGGGCTGAAGGCAGTAAGCCAAATGGTCTGGCTTGGCAAGTCCCACCCCCACGGAACCCAGCTAGCTAAATTACACTGGCTTGAAACTGTCACTGCCAGCACAACAGTCTAAGGTCAACCTGGATCACTGGAGCTTGGTGAGGGAAGGGACATCCATCATTGCCTAGGCTTGAGTAGGCAGTTTATTCTCACAGTGTAAACAAAGCTGTCAGGAAGTTTGGGCTGGGTGGAGCCCATCTCAGCTCAGCAAGACTTCTGAGGCCAGATTCCCTCTTTAAAATCCGCCTCTGGGCAAGGCATCTCTGAAAAAAAGGCAGCAGCCCTACTCAGGGACTTATTGATAGAACGTCCATCTCCCTGCAACAAAGTACCAAGGGAAAGGGGTGGCTGTGGGCATAGCTTCAGCAGACTTAAACATCCCTGCATGACAGCTCTGAAGAGAGCAGCAGATCTCCCATCATAGTGTTCGAGCTCTGATAAGGGACAGACTGCCTCCTCAAGTGGGTCCCTGACTCCAGTGCCTCCTGATTGGGAAACGCCTCCCAGCAGGGGTCAGTGTCATACAGGAGAGCTCCGGCTGGCATCTGGCAGGTGCTCCTCTGGGATGAAGCTTCCAGAGGAAGGAACAGGCAGCAGTCTTTGCTGTCTGCAGCCTCCGCTGGTGATACCCAGGCAAACAGGGTCTGGAGTGCACCTCCAGAAAACTCCAGCAGACCTGCAGCAGTGGGGCCAGACTGTTAGAAGGAAAACTAACAAACAGAAAGGAACAGTTGACAAGAAGGATGTCTACCCAGATACCCCATCCAAAGGTCACCAACATCCAAAACTGTAGGTAGATAACTCCAGGAAGATGGGGAGGATAAAAAGCGCAAAAACACTGAAAATTCCAGAACCCAGAATGCTGCTGCTTTCCTTGCCAGCAATGGAACAAAACTGGACCAAGAATGAGTTTGACAAATTGACAGAAGTAAGTTTCAGAAGGTGGATAATAACAAACTCCAGCGAGCTAAAGGAACGTGTTATAACCCAATACAAGGAAAGTAAAATCCTTGAAAAAAGGTTAGACAAATTGCTAAATAGAATAACCAATGTAGAGAAGACATAAATGACCTGATGGAGCTGAAAAACACAGCACGAGAACTTCGTGAAGCATACACAAGTTTCAATAGCTGAATGGATCAAGTGGAAGAAAGGATATCAGAGATTGAAGATCAACTCAATGAAATAAAACGAGAAGGCAAGATTAGAGAAAAAAGTGAAAAGAAATGAACAAAGCCTCCAAGAAATATGGGACAATGTGAAAAGACCAAACCTGTGTTCGATTGGTGTACCTGAAAGTGATGGGGAGAATAGAACCAAGTTGGAAAACTCTATTCAGGAAATTATCCAGGAGAACTTCCCTAACCTAGCAAGGCAGGCCAACCTTCAAATTCAGGAAATACAGAGAACACCACAAAGATACTACTTGAGAAGGGCAACCCCAAGACACATAATAGTCAGATTTACCAAGGTTGAAATGGAGGAAAAAATGTTAAGGGCAGCCAGAGAGAAAGGCCGGGTCACCCACAAAGGGAAGCCTATCAGACTAACAGTGGAGATCTCGGCAGAAAAACTACAAGCCAGAAGAGAGTGGGGATCAATATTCAACATTCTTAAAGAAAATAATTTTCAACCCAGAATTTCATATCCAGCAAAACTAAGCTTCATAAGTGAAGGAGAAATAAAATCCTTTACAGGCAAGCAAATGCTGAGAGATTTTGTCACCACCAGGCTAGCCTTACAAGAGCTCCTGAAGGAAGGACTAAATATGGAAAGGAATAATCTCTACCAGCCACTGCAAAAGCACACCAAATTGTAAAGACCATCAACGCTATAAAGAAACTGCATCAACTAACGGGCAAAATAACCAGCTAGCACCATAACGACGGATCAAATTCACACATAACAATATTAACGTTAAATGTAAGTCAGCTAAGTGCCCCAATTAAAAGACACAAACTGGCAGATTGAATAAAGAGACAAGACCCATTGGTGTGCTGTATTCAGGAGACCCATCTCATGCGCACAGACACACTTAAGCTCAAAATAAAGGGATGGAGGAATATTTACCAAGCAAATGGAAAGAAAAAAAAAAAAAAAAAAGCAAACAAAAAACCAGTTGCGATCTTACTCTCTGATAAAACAGACTTTAAACCAACAAAGATCAAAAGACACAAAGAAGGGCATTACATAATGGTAAAGGGATCAATGCAACAAGAAGCACTAACTGTCCTAAATATGTATGCACCCAATACAAGAGCACCCATATTTATAAAGCAAGTTCTTAGAGACCTGCAAAGTGACTTAGACTCCCAAACAATAATAGTTGGAGACTTTAGCACCCCACTGTCAATATTAGACAGATCAACGAGAGAGAAAATCAATAAGGATATCAGGACATGAACTCGGCACTGAACCAAGTGGACCTAATAGACATCTACAGAAGTCTCCACTCGAAATCAACAGAATACGCATTCTTCTCAGTGCCACATCACACTTACTGTAAAACTGACCACATAATTGGAAGTAAAGCATTCCTCAGCAAATGCCAAAGAATGGAAATCTTAACAGTCTCTAAGACCACAGTGCAATCAAATTAGAACTCGGAATTTAAAAAACTCACTCAAAACCGCCCAACTGCATGGTAACTGAAAAACCTGCTCCTGAATGACTACTGGGTAAATAATGAAATGCAGGCAGAAATAAAGATGTTCTTTGAAACCATTGAGAACAAAGACAAAATGTACCAGAATCTCTGGGATACATTTAAAGCAGTGTTTGGAGGGAAATTTATAGCAGTAAATGCCCACAAGAAAAAGCAGGAAAGATCTAAAATCGACACCCTAACATCACAATTAAAAGAACTAAAGAAGCAAGAGCAGACAAATTCAAAAGCCTAGCAGAAGCCAAGAAATAAGATCAGAGCAGAACTGAAGGAGATAGAAGACACCAAAAATCCTTCAAAAAAAATCAGCGAATCCAGGAACTGGTTTTTTGAAAAGATCAACAAAATAGACTGCTAGCCAGACTAATAAGAAAAGAGAGAAGTTATCAAATAGATGCAATAAAAAATGATAAAGGGGTTATCACCAGCGATCCCACAGAACTACAGACTACCATGACAGAATACTATACATACCTCTATACAATAAACTAGAAAATCTAGAAGAAATGAGATAAACAGAACCAATGATAAAAAACACATGATTATCTCAATAGATGCAGAAAAGGCCTTCATAAAGTTCAACACCTTTTCATGCTAAAAGCTCTTAATAGACTAGGTATTGATGGAATGATCTCAAAATAATAAGAGCTATTTATGACAAACCCACAGCCAATATCATACTGAATGGGCAAAAGCTGGAAGCATTCCCTTTGCAGACTGGCACAGGACAAGGATGCCCTTTCTCACCACTCTATTCAACATAGTATTGGAAGTTCTGGCCAAGGCAATCAGTCAAGAGAAAGAAAGAAAGCATATTCAGTTAGGAAGAGAGGAAGTCAAATTGTCTTTGTTTGCAGAAGACGTGATTGTATACTTAGAAAACTCCATTGTCTCAGCCCCAAATCTCCTTAAGCTGACAAGCAACGTCAGCAAAGTCTCAGGATACAAAATCAATGTGTAAAAATCACGAGCATTCCTATACACTAATAACAGACTGCAGAAGATTCTGTACAGAAGAGTACAAAAGAAACAGAGAGCAAAATCATGAGCGAACTCCCATTCACAATTGCTACTAAGAGAATCAAATACCTAGGAATCCAACTTACAAGGGATGTGAAGGACTTCTTCAAGGAGAACTAGAAACCGCTGCTCAAGAAAATAAGAGGGAGCCGGGCGCGGTGGCTCACGCCTGTAATCCCAGCACTTTGGGAGGCCGAGGCGGGTGAATCATGAGGTCAAGAGATCGAGACCATCCTGGTCAACATGGTGAAACCCCATCTCTACTAAAAATACCAAAAATTAGCTGGGCATGATGGCGCTTGCCTGTAATCCCAGCTACTCAGGAGACTGAGGCAGGAGAATTGCCTGAACCCAGGAGGCGGAGGTTGCGGTGAGCCGAGATCACGTCATTGCACTCCAGCCTGGGTAACAAGTGAAACTCTGTCTCAAAAAAATAAATAAATAAAAAGAAAATAAGAGAGGACAAAAACAGATGGAAAAGCATTCCATGCTCATGGGTTAGGGAGAATCAATATTGTGAAAATGGCTGTACTGCCCGAAGCAATTTATGGATTCAATGCTGTCCCCATCAAGCTACCACTGACTTTCTTCACAGAATTGGAAAAAATTTCTTTCAATTTCATATGGAACCAAAAAAGAGCCTGCATAGCTAAGACAATCCTAAGCAAAAAGAACAAAATTGGAGGGATCATGCTACCTGACTTCAAACTACACTACAATGCTACAGTAACCAAAACAGCATGGTACTGGTACCAAAACAGATATGTAGACCAGTGGAACAGAACAGAGGCCTCAGTAATAACGCCACACATCTACAACCATTTGATCTTTGACAAACCTGACCAAAACCAATGGGGAAAGGATTCCCTACTTAATAAATGGTGTTGGGAAAACTGGCTAGCCATATGCAGAAAGCTGAAACTGGATTCATTCCTTACACCTTATACAAAAGTGAACTCAAGATGGATCAAACACTTAAACATAAGACCTGGAACCATAAAAACCCTAGAAGAAAACCTAGGCAATGCCATTCAGGGCATAGGCATGGGCAAAGATTTTGTGACTAAAACACCAAAAACATTGGCAACAAAAGCCAAAATTGACAAATGGGTTCTAATTAAACTGAAGAGCTTCTGCACAGCAAAAGAAACTCATCAGAGTGAGCAAGCAACCTACAGAATGGGAGAAAACTTTTGCAATCGGTGCATCTGACAAAGGGCTAATATCCAGAATCTACAAAAAAATTAAATTTACAAGAAAAAAACAACCCCATCAAACAGTGGACAAAGGAGATGAACAGACACTTCTTAAAAGAAGACATTTATGCAGCCAACAAACATATGGAAAAAAAGCTCATCATCATTGGTCATTAGAGAAATGCAAATGAAAACCATATTGCAATACCATCTCACGCCAGTTAGAAGAGCAATCATTAAAAAGTTGGGAGACAAGAGATGCTGGCGAGGATGTGGAGAAATAGGAACATTTTTAGACTGTTGGTGGAAGTGTAAATTAGTTCAACCATTGTGAAAGACAATGTGGCAATTCCTCAAGGAACTAGAACCAACAATACCATTTGACCCATCAATCCCATTACTGGGTATATACCCAAAGGATTATAAGTCATTCTATAAAGACGCATGCACATGTATGTTTATTGCAACACTGTTCACAATACCAAAGACTTGGGACCAACCCAAATACCCATCAGAGGTAGACTGGATAAAGAAAATGTGGCACATGTACACCATGGAATACTATGCAGCCATAAAAAGGGGTGAGTCCATATCCTTTTCAGGGACATAGATAAAGCTGGAAACCATCATTCTCAGCAGACTAACACAAGAAGAGAAAACCAAACACTGCATCTTCTCACTCATAACAATGAGGATACATGGACACAGGGAGGCGAACATCACACACCAGGGCCTGTTGGGGGTGGAGGTTGAGGGGAGGGACAGTATTAAGAGAAATACTTGATGTAAATGATGGGTTGATGGAGTGCAGCAAACCACCATGGCACGTGTATACCAGTGTAACCTGCACATTCTGCAGATGTACACCAGAACTTAAAGTATAATGTGTGTGTGTGTGTGTGTGTGTATGTATAAAATGTTGAGTAGACATGTTTTTTATCAAAGCTTTTAGTTCACCTCCCCTCATGAAAGAGTACTATTAATATTACCAACCAGAAACTTTTTTGACAGTTTACAGACTTCATTAAGAATCTTAATTATGTCATGACCTCTCAAGAGCCTCTTTGCTCATACTTTAAGAAGTCTCCAGATTAGCTGAGGATTTTGTAATCCTATCTTTCCATGTTTCTTTTAAAATATTATTGATTTTAGATATTTAATTTTTATTTCTTACTATCAAGGAGACCTCTCTTCTACTTTCTAATATGCTTCTGTTGTAGACTGGAAACTTCCAAAAATGTTTCAAATAAGTCAGTGTTAAGTGTAAATAGACATCAGATGAATAACTTATGTACTTTCATGAGAGAAGTATATAAACTTTATTTTGTTGGTGGCCATTCATATGTTGTCTAGATACCTGTGTGGTATATTTCCTTGAACACTGTCTTTCAATTTTGGATTCTACCAATTTGAGAAAATTCTTGTTACTTTGGTATATGTTAATACTGTTGAGGTTTTTAATAATTTTTATATAATTATAAATGTATTTTAAATAGTGCTTTCATTTTGATGTACTTGAACAATGAGTGAATTTTAAAATATTTTGTTTGAATGAAAGGCTGAAAAACAGTCAGCTAAGCTACGGGCAGAACACTTGGAAAAAGAGCTACAATCAAGCAATGAACAAAATACCTGTTTAATTAATAAATTGCATAAAGCGGAACGAGAAATAAATACATTGTCCAGTAAAGTAAGTTTTATGCTTGTTTCATTTTTTAGAATTTTTGTTACCATGTAATGATAAATTTTATTTTTAATAATTCATTTCTTTTTACTGAAATGTTTTATTATATTCTACCTTCCAAGAAATAAATATGTTGATCAGTAGAGTATGTTATCTTAACACCTCTACTTCCTTCTTTAGAATGCTTAATACTGTACAATAACAAAGAAATTTTGTGTTTAGTTCTCTGTATTGAAATCTTGTTTAATCTTATCACTCTGCCTTCCAAATATATACAGAATCTGATCAATTCTTACCACATCGACTGTGATCATTCTAGTCTAAGCCATGATTTCTCTAGGCACCTTTTTTATGCTAGGTTGCTAACTGATTTTTCTACTTTCTACCCATTCAGAGCTCTGTATGATTTGGATCCAGCAGCCTTTTCATAGCCATGATCACGTATTTTTCCTCTTGTTCATTTTGCTCCCCTTGGCCTTCTCACTCTTTGAGCAAACTCACATTTTCCTCATGGTTTCTGCACTTGTATGAGCTTGGCCCGGTCTTCCCTCACATATCCACATTACTTGCTTCCTTACCCCATAGATGTTGCCTAATCAGAGAGGCTTTCCTTCACATTGTAAAATAGCATCTTCTTCCTCTGTATCTTCCTTACCCGCTTTTTCTTCATAGCTATCAATGCTCAATACTATCCAATACAGTTATTTGGTTTTTCTTTTTTTTTGATCTCTCCTTTTCCTTCCCACCAACTCAGTATAAGCTCCAAGAGAACAGGGACATTGTTTTCATCACTACTGTTTTTCCAGCTTCTAGAACAGTGCTGGCACATAGTAGGTACTCAGTAAATATTTCTTCCGGCGGCTCAAGCCTGTAATCCCAGCACTTTGGGATGCTGAGGCGGGCGGATCACAATGTCAAGAGATTGAGATCATCCTGGCCAATATGGTGAAACCCTGTCTCTACTAAAAATAGAAAAATTAGCTGGGTGTGGTGGCGTGCGCCTGTAGTCCCAGCTACTCAGGAGGCTGAGGCAGGAGAATTGTTTGAACCTGGGAGGCGGAGGTTGCAGTGAGCCGAGATCGTGCTACTGCACTCCAGCCTGGCGCCTGTCGACAGAGTGAGACTCTGTCAATCAATCAATCAATCAATCAATCAATTCTTCAATGAATAAATTAGTAGTAGCAGCATAATCTACATTTATATTCTCCTTAACAGACTGGATTTTTCAAATTCTGATTTTTCCCTTAATAAAGCTCTGTGACCTTGGGCAGTTCACCATCTCTCTGAAACTTCAGTGCCCTTGTCTGTAAAATGGGACTAACACTTAACCTTATCGAGTTGTGGCAAAAATTAAATGTAGCTGATGATGAAAATGATAATTGCAGTGATTATATACTAGTGATATCCTTAAATAAGAAAATATTATAACATAAAGAATACATAATTTTTAATCCATTGACTAGTCTATATCCCACTGTCTCAATAACTGTGTGTAACCTTAGGCAAGTTACCTAATATCATTATGACCCAATTTCCTTATATCTCTAAGAAACCTTTTAGCCTACGAAGACAGTGTAAGAACTGCTGGGAAATAATTTGATTGCCTTCTGATTAACTGTAAGTAGATTATATATTCAACAGATATACATTGAACGCTTATAATTACAGAGTATACAAAAAATAGATACAAAACACAAATAATTAAATTTAGGGATACAGGGAGTTATCATGCTTTTCTTCTAATTCCAATATAAATTAGTTTCAATTTTGTAAAATAATATTGAGTACCTAGTATTTGCAGCACATTGTTCTTGACCTGAGTTGCCAGACTACGCTGCTGGAATAATTGGAACCACAGATGTAGCAATAGGACATCGGATATGCTGGCTTCTACTGTGGTTTCTCTCTTGGGGGTCACCAAGTCTAATACTTTTCATGCAGTACATTTTACCTGAGCTCCCTGGCTCACCTGTGTGCTGACCCTGATTTTTTTTCTTTTTTCCGTATATATACTCTTCTCTATTACTCCTTCCTTTTGGAGTTAGAGCATAGGTGATTTCTCCTACTCTACTGAAGAAAAAACAGCAGTCTGGTATAGTATTATTTATTTCTCTGTGCTTGTTTATTAACATACATTGCCAAGAGTTGCCTGTCTTTGTTAAGGCACAATTTGCATTATTTTGCATATAAATGGAGTATTAAATACTACCCTTCAACTGTAGACAAACCAAGTTTCATTTGAAGTCTTACATGTAAAGATTCCATTAGAAGGGTAAATTTTAATATTTCAAACATGACTGCCACAGTTTTCTTTGCAACTTGAAATTTTTATCAACATTTTGCAATTCTAGCAAATGGTTGTTTGCAGTGCAAAGGAACACCTGGGGTGTGTTTGTCTAAATTATTCAAATTTGTAAATGTTTGGCAGATTTTAGAACAAAGTTCTATCAGTATGAGTATCAATGACTTGGATTAAAAGGTATTACCAAAGATGGCTTGAAAATGATGACCTTAAAGAGATTTCACATTCAGTGAGATAAATTTTTCTAGTTAACTAATAAGATTTTCATCTTTAGAATGCCAATAAAAGATAGTTTTAAGGAAGCCATCCAATAAAGTTATCCTTATTTACCTAAGTTAATGAGGTAATAACATCTTAGAACTTAGAAAAAGATCAGGATTTAAATACTGTCGCTTTGGAATCTGTATCCAGAGCTGCTTAGGTAATATATATTTTCAACTATATTTCCATTTCTTGCTTATATATACAGTGTTCTTGTGTGTCTTTCTGTATGTGCCCCCCTGTAAAGTGCCCAGTATTGCCATTTTTGACATTTATTAAAGTTTTGTTAGTAGTAATATCTGAATACTTACATTGTGTCAAAAACATAAAGCAAATTCACAACATAAAGGCTAGAATCTACATGGCAAATATTTTGTGAAGAACAGGGTGACTTGGTCCAGTGGAGCTTCAGAAGACCATGAATCACTTGAAATTTTATGTAACATTTTAACAGGAGCATTTTTGTTTAAAAAAAGATTCTTAATTTTCCTAGGATTTGGAATTTGACACAAAGAAGAATAAGAACCAGGGATCTAGCGGCAGAAAGAAACTGCATTGTAACTGTAATTTTGTTAAGATTACTATAGAAAAGTGCTATTATTTGTCATTACTAGGTAATAAATTTTCATACACTATTTTAAGTAAATAACATTCCATTTAGTGTATTTTTAGGAAGTTAACAGGGTTTGTATAAGTGTACTGATAATGTTAGGATATAGAAATAGGGCAATAAAGAAAAACTTAAGATCCATAAATGAATAAATTTGAATGCAGAGAGGACAGGTAAATTGCTTGAGCATGTACCACTAGTTTAACAGCAAAAGTAGGCCTGAAGACAGACCTCACTTGTTGCTTGACTTCCTATCTGGTGTTCTTTCATTTTCAATAATTATAGATTAGTGAAAAATGTCTTCTCATTTCAATAAATCATAGGGTGGAATGAATAAGAAATAAGTTTTTGTAGTTCTTGGAGTTACCATGAGATGAATCAATTTCCTATGAAATAAGATGGCTCTAAGTTTCTACCTCATACAGCTAGAGTATGTTTGTTAATGAAATGCTGTGTCATTCTTAATTTTTTCAGTTAGTATATAATAGCAGATTATAATTACATTTGTCATAGTGATTGCATTTTCTTTGTAATTATATTTCTTTGAAATTTTATGGTATTTATAATTTAAATTCTCTCTGTCCATGAAATCAGAATGTAGTAAAACTTAACCTACAGAAAGTTTAGGTATTAAAATAAATTCTCAGCTGCTTTCATGTAGTTAAACATCATTTTATAAAACTTGTTTTTACAGAAAATTACTTCCACAGGGGAATTAAAAATGCAGTCTGGGCTCAGTGGCTCACTTTGGGAGGCTGAGGCAGGTAGATCACAATGTCAGGAGTTCAAGACCAGCCTGGCCAAGGGGGTGAAACCCCATCTCTACTAAAAATACAAAAACTTAGCCAGGTGTTGTGGCAGGCACCTGTAATCCCAGCTACTCGGGAGGCTGAGGCAGAGTACTGCTTGAATCTGGGAGGCGGAGGTTGCAGTGGACCAAGATCGCGCACTGCCCTCCAGCCTGGGCGACAGAGTGAGACTCCATCTCAAAAAAAAAAATAATAATAATAAAAAAAATGCAAAACAATGTCAGCACAAGGCCACCATTTTATGTACAGTCATTTAAAAATCTATGAGATAATTTGGAGGGATGTCTTACTGTAGTTAGCAGTACAAAGGCAGTACTCATTTTTCTGTTTATTTCCTTTAAATGAGGATTTTGCGTGAAACTATTTCTTGAAACACTTTCAGGACCTTTTGTTGATGGAGTCTCTTCCCTTAGACACTTCTATTTCTTGTCCTTGCCCTCTTTGGCTTTAGGACCTCTTTTTGATTTGTGTCTAACTCCCAACTCCAGTTTTTATGGGGTTTTATTGGACTCTGAGTAAATTGTCTTTTACTTTTCTGTTTCTACCATCTCACATTTTCTATATTTGACTTGCATATATTTATAGATTCCATAGTTTTATATATTCAGATAATAGAAAACAGGTTAATCTAACTTTTATGTTTGATTGAGTAAATCCTTATTATATGAGTATATCTAATTTTAGAAGCTCCTAACCAAAGAGGAGGGCTATGGAAAATGAATGTGGATGATTTATGATTGTTCCTGCCCCGACCTCTACCTCATACTTGTGCACATGCGCACACAGACATGTATCTGTACACATAACACTATTTTGTCACCAGATTCAATTGATTCTTCTTTTTCCTTCCTTTATTCATTCCTTGCCTCTTAATTGATTTATTTACCTTTAGTTTCTTAAGCCAACACATTTGCATTAGAGTTAATTGTGCCACCTTTAACAGCTAACATGAAAAACAGCCCTTTTGCATGGCATGTAAAGTTTGTTTCCTGCCATTCCCCCACAGATTTCATATCATCTGGTGCTCTACATGTAATACATAGCTTGTTTTAAGAGCAGACCATGTGATGTTATACATATAATAACATTTTATATGCTGTTCCTTCTACCTAGAGTGCCTTCTTTGTCCCCAACACATTTTTTATTCTTAAATTTAATTTTAGGGGTTAATTTTTTTAGAGACAGGGTCTCACCCTGTCACCCAGGCTGGAGTACATTGGCATAATCATAGTTAACTGTGGCCTCAAACCCCTAGACTCAAGTGATCTCTTACCTCAGTCTCCTCAGTGGTTGGGACTAAGGGTCATGTCATGTCTGGATAATTAAAAAAATTTTTTTTTAGAGAAAGGGTCTCACTGTGTTGCCCAGGCTGATCTCCACCATGAGACCTCAAACACTCCTTCTGCTGCAGCCTCTTTAGTAGCTGGGATTTTAAGTGCAAGTTACTATGTCAGCTGTGGACACTTTTTTAAAGGAAGGTTTCAGGCCAAGTGCCATGGATCACACCTGTAATCCTAGGACTTTGGGAGGCCAACTCAGGAGGACTACTTGAGACCACAGTTTTAGATCAGCCTGATCAGCATAGCAAGACCCCATCTCTACAAAAAAAATTGAAGAATTATCTGAGTGTAGTGGTATGCACCTTTAGTCCGGACAGCTACTTGGAATGCTGAGGAGAGAGGATCACTTGAGCCCAGGAATTTGAAGTTAAAGTGAGCTATGATTATGCCACTATACTTCAGCCTGGATGACATAGTGAGACCCTGTCTTTTAAAAATTTAAAAAAATTGGCAAGGCCCGGTGGCTCACACCTGTAATTCCAGGACTTTGGGAGGCCGAGGCAGGGGGATCACAAGGTCAGGAGATCGAGACCATCCTGGCCAACATGGTGAAACCCCATCTCTACTAAAAATACAAATATTAGCCAGGGGTGGTGGTGTGTGCCTGTAATCCCAGCAACTTGGGAGGCGGAGGCAGGAGAACCACTTGAACCTGGGAGGCAGAGATTGCAGTGAGCCAAGATCATGCCACTGCACTCCAGCCTGGTGACACAGTGAGACTGCGACTCAAAAAAAAAAAAAAATTAAAAAATTTGAAAAGATTCAGGTTTTTTTTTTCTCTGCAGATTTCCCAGTCATTGAGCATTTGATTTTAGATACTTTAATTAAGTCTTTAAGGCAAGATTAAGCCAGAGGATCATACACAGATATTCATAAAGAAATACCTTGGTTCTGTTGGGAGAATGTTTTCTTGATGTCTCCTTATATGAAGTACTATTCTAGGCACTGACACTTTTTTCTTCTTGGAAGGTAGTAAGACTCTACTTTACTACCAAAGCATTTTCTCATTTCTACTTATGTTTTCGGTTAAGTTTTGAATGGCAAGAAAATGACCAATAGTAATTTTAATTTTTAATTATCAACAGGTAAAAGAACTTAAACATTCAAACAAACTAGAAATAACAGACATCAAACTGGAGGCAGCAAGAGCTAAGAGTGAGCTAGAAAAAGAAAAGAATAAGATTCAAAGTGACCTGGATGGTAATACATGATTTCCCATGCTGCTGCTGATTTTCAGATATGAACTCAAATTATTAAAACAGTTGAAACTGAATTTTTATTTCCAGATTTTCACTTAATTCATTTTTAATCTTGGAGCACATATGAAATTTTTTTATTGTGTGTTGAGTGTTTTGTTCATTGTAATATATAACCTGTATAAAATCAGTCTTATGTTTATGTCATAGGTATTGGATATATAAGTGAACTTTGTAAATGGGATGCCATACTTCCTGATTTATAAATTTTAAATCTATTTATCGTGTAGTTAACAGTCCCTGGACATTTTAAGTCTAGAGAATGCAAGGAAGATAATTGGGTTCCAGGCTTAATTTTTTTTCAGTTAAAATTTTTTTTGATGTAGACCCTAGGCCTTTTACTGTAGCCTAGTGCAGAGGTAGGCTTATTTTTAAGTTTCAGTTTAATCTTAGAACATCCATCTCATCAGGCTTCCTCTTTAGCTATGGTTGAGTTGGTCTGTAGTTGAACTCGTTTCAGGCAGTTTATGATGAATGCCTTTTATGTTTTGAAATGGAGTCTCACCATGTTGCCCAGGCTAGCCTTGAACTCCTGGGCTCAAATGATCCTCCTGCTTAAGCCTCCTCAGTAGCTGGAACTACAGGTGCTAACACCCTACCTGGCTGCTATGAATTATTTTTTCCAATTATTAATTTCTATTTGGTGACTCATGGATTTCCATAGAGTTAGGGAGTGAAATTTTTTTAGGAACTTAAAGAATGGTCCTCTTTGTTTTTACTTTTAATGTGAATTTGTTTTAGTTATTACATCTGCAAAGTACTTGCCATTACATCACAAAGATTTCTGAATTCACTGTTCAAACTTGAAAGTATCCATGTTATTTATACTTCTGCTAGAAATCTTGCAATTCTAGAATCAATAGGTTTTGAATGGTTTTGTGGTTTAATTCTCTCTGCTATCGGCCAGCTTTGTTATGATGCTGTCTTAGACGCTTAGGTCACAGAACCCCTTTAGAGGTGAAGTAAGTAAACCTCTGGTTTTCATCCAGGTTGATCTCAACTCTCAATGTTCGAATGAGTAAATGTATATAACCTTTAATTAAAGTTTTTGTAGCTGGAACTACAAAACTAAATTCGTTTTTTTTGTATGCACTAAATTCGTGACCAGAAAATTAGCTCTAAGTTTTAGTCTGTTTCATTCTTATTTTAAGAGAGTTTATTTATGATGTAAGGATTGGTAAAAATATATTTTCATAGAGACTTCCTACATTGTTTTAGTTGTCTTACCAGCTTATGAACACTTGCTGTTAAATGTGATTTTTCATCTTAATAACATTGACTGTAGTAAGTTTTTCTCCTTAAAAAACACTAGGACTACAGTCAGACAATGAAATTCTCAAAGCAGCTGTTGAACACCACAAAGCACTTTTAGTAGAAAAGGATCGTGAATTAATACGTAAAGTACAAGCTGCCAAAGAAGAAGGTTATCAAAAACTTGTGGTATTGCAAGATGAAAAGTAAGTACTTAATTACCTTAGTTTGACTTAAATATCCTTGCAGCTGAAAACATTTTGCTGTCATATCATCTTTATTATAGTTTTTGTAACATAATTGTGATCTGTTGTTTTAGGTTAGAACTTGAGAACAAATTAGCAGATTTGGAGAAAATGAAAGTGGAACATGATGTCTGGAGGCAATCTGAAAAAGATCAGTATGAAGAGAAATTGCGGGCTTCACAGATGGCAGAAGAGATCACCAGGAAGGAACTTCAGAGTATTAGGTTATATAGCATATACATTTAAAATTTTTCATGTTGAAATAATGTCAGAGTTAACAAAATGATGTACAAGTAGTTCAAAGAATTCCCATGTGCCCTTCACCCTGATCTCTCAAATACGAATATGTTATGTAACCATATTATAGTAAGATTAAGAAATTAACATGAGGCTGGGCATGGTAGCTCATGTCTGTAATCCCAGCACTTTGGGAGATGAGGCAGGTAGGTAGGTCACGAGGTCAGGAGTTAAAGACCAGCCTGACCAACATGGTGAAACCCTGTCTCTACTAAAAATATAAAAAATTAGCTGGGCATGGTAGTGGGTGCCTGTAATCCCAGCTACTGGGTAGGCTGAGGCAGGAGAATTGCTTGAACCTGGGTGGTGGACATTTCAGTGAGCTGAGATCCGTTCCACTGCACACCAGCCTGGGCAACAGAGCGAGACTCTGTCTCAAAAAAACCAAAACAAAACAAAATGAAATTATCATCATGAATATAATCAGGAAATCAGATATTACTATTATAAAACCTATTAACTATATTCAGATTTTACCAGTTGTCACACTGATGTCCTTTTTTTGGCCTAAAACCCAATCCAGAATCACACATTGTGTTTAGTTACTTTTAATCTGGAACGTATGAATACTTGTCAGTATTTTGTATATCTTCTCTCAGTTTGGTTTTGTATTGCATTTTTCATGATTAAATTCAGTTTATGCGTTTTTAGCAAAACAGTGAAGTCATGTGTCCTCAGTGCATCATATCAGGAGGTTCATGATTTGGCCCCTGAACTGGAGATTTTAACCTTGGTCACTTGGTTAAGTTAGTGTTTGCCAGATTTTTCCCCAATAAAATTACTACTTTTTTTCCCCTTTGTAATATGTAATTATCTCGTGGCTGCCCATATATTTCGAGACTCTGTAAATATTCTCATCAAATTTTCCCTTTATACATTCTTCCATTAATGTTAGTATCCATTGATAATTCTTACCTGGAACAATTATTACTCTAGCATTTGCCAAATGATGATCTATTTCTATTATCTTTCCTCATTTATTATTTGAAATACTCCTGAAAGGAAGAACTTTCCCTTTTCCTCTGAATGTTGTATTTATATCATTATGGATTTATACATTCTTATTTTTTCTATAGATTATAATATTTTGTTATTTTATTGCTCAACTTTTCTCAGATTTGGCTATTTGAAGATCTTTCCAAGTTGAATCCCATGTCCTTTTGACATAATCCCACCATTTATTGAGACATTTTTCTGTCATTACAGGATGTTCTATTCTGTGGTTCTCTTTCACTTTCACTGCCTTAACCCTGAAATTAATCATTTATCTGAGGTGCTTTGATTCCTTTTTAATTGGAGAATGGTATTTAGAAACCAAAATCTCAGCTCTAGATATGCTATTGGTACTAGAGAGTCAATTGCTTCTAGGTCCTCCCAGTGAACTGAGTGAGCTGAAAGGTACACATTTATATCTATTTCTTTATTTTTCTCTCTATATTAATTATCTTGAGTTTACATTGGTATTCCCAGTTCTCTTCCAGCACCATGGAGTTCATTCTGGCCTTCCTCTTTTCATACTTGCAATTCTTTTGACAGAAAACCAGCATTCATTATTCATACTGTATTTGCTTATTTCCTCAGTCCTAGAATACAGAGTTGTTTTGGAATTGCTAACTTATTACTCAATGAAAAGCAAACCTATTAACTTATGTGTAATATTTGTGTATAGTTCTTTTTGTCTTTATCCTTAGAGTGTATAGTCAAAATACTGTTTTCCAAAGTTACTTAGGATTTTTCTCAAATTCTCCTTCAATGTGGTTTGTTATTCACTTATAAGCAGGTTTACTTTTTCTGTTCGATTCCATTTTGAGTCCATACCCCATCCTTGTTTGTTTTATTTATTAATATATTGAGCATTTGGAATATCTACATGGNTGTCATGAGGACCACCTTACAATAAGGCACACACAGTTCTTTTTTTTTTTTGCATTTTAGGTTTTGGGGTACATATGAAGAACATGCAAGATTGTTGCATAGGTACACACATGGCAGTGTGATTTGCTGTCTTCCTCCCCATCACCTATATCTGGCATTTCTCCCCATGCTATCTCTCCCCAGCTCCTCACCCCCCACTGTCCCTCCCCTATTTCCCCCCCGACAGACCCCAGTGTGTGATGCTCCCCTCCCTGTGTCCATGTGTTCTCATTGTTCAACACCCACCTATGAGTGAGAACATGCGGTGTTTGATCTTCTGTTCTTGAGGCACACACAGTTCTGTGCACAGGGCCAGGCACACAGGGAGCACTCGTGCCAGCTGTTGACATTAGGAGAGCCCTGGGGTGCTAAGTGACGGGGACAAGCTTCCTCTGGAAGCCAGTGGACACAGGTCAGAGGTCCAGTCAGATCTGCATTTCAGAAGGGTCCTCCAGCTGCTGCATGGAGGATATCTAGGAGGGAAAGACTGGAGGCCACTCCAGAACCAGATGGAGGTTGACATGGACCCTGGAGATGAGGGGACTGAAGGGGCCTGGGCGGTCCACAGTGGTTACGAAGGTAGCTCTGGAGCCAGACAGCCTGGCACGAATCCCGGGGTTGCCACTTGCTCACTGTAGAATTTTGGCAGGCTCTGGAATCTTAACTCAGTTTTCTCATCTGTAATGTGGGCATGCTAATAACACTGATGCGGTAGAGTTTCTGTGATTATGTATGAGTTAATCCATAAGAATTGCTCAGAACGTCACGGGTACTTAATTACCATCAGATCAACCAGAATTATCATTAAATATAAAGTTAAGGGATAAAAGACAAGGATGTCAACACTATTTTTTGCCTGAGACAATGAGATCTTAAAGTGAGTCCCCTGCCTTAGCTGCTAAGCTGTGCTGGAAACCTTCAGCCAGGAGTTGGACGGTGTGGTAGACGCCTCCTCCCCAGCGGGTTAATTCACTGCTAATCTTCTAACAGGCCAGCCCAGCCATTGCCGATATCAGAGAAAACCTGAGCTGCCTGCTTTGTAAGGCTTGCTGGCCGGGAACCGTAATCCACCCCACAGCTGATAAGACAGTGAAAGAAACTCAAGGGGAGGAGAAAGACAGGGTAGACACAAGTCCGCTTCCCTGACTTTCCCACTGAGCCTTCCCGGTTCAGGGGAGCAGACCTTCTGAGTCTCAAGAAAGGCACATGGGCCAGAGCTTGTGCCTTGAATTGCTGTGTGATCTCAAGAGATTTACCAAGCCTCTCTGAGCACGAGTTTTCTCGTCTATAAAGTGGGGCTAGTGATGCCTATCTCTTACAGTTTGTGGGTGGGCTGAGTATAATACACAAGTCAAGGGCTTTGCATCTAAAGCCCCTTGGATCTCACAGAGGGTGCAGCTGTTAATGAATTGAAGTTGCTCTAGAAATTGTGGTCTTTAAGGGTAGGGGGACACACAGAACAGGCCTTGCACCCCAGCTTCACTATTTGAGGTAGGACATGGGCAATTCACCAGACCAGAAGTGCCCACTTCCCTGCAGGAATAAATGAAGAACTTAGAGCAGTAGGGGCTTGATAACTGGCGACTGGGGTAGGATTGCCTACTTCGTGCTTTAACCGGAGACCTTGCTCTGGGCTACAGCGTGGGGTTCTGGGGCCCGTGGAGCGGAAGCTTCAAAACACTCTGAACACCTGAGCAAACAAGGCAGTCTGCAAGAATGGGAATCTCGGAGGAAAAGAGGACGGCCGTTTCTGAGAGCAGATTGGTGGTGTCAGATTACAAAGACCCTGCTGGGCCAAGAGTGAAGCCCCTGGTCTGGTTGAGGTGGGTGGGGTGTCTCAGGGGAACTAGGAACTACCAGTTGGGAGAACTGCACTGCGCCCTCATAAATCAAATAGCAAGGCTCTGAGTCTTGCTATTTGATTTACAAAGGGCTGACTACGAAACAGACCACTTTCTTTTCTTTCTTTTTTTTTTTTTTTTTTTGAGACAGTCTCTGTCACCCAGACTAGAGGGCAGTGGGGCAGTCTTGGCCCACTGCAACCTCTGCCTCCAGGATTCAAGCAATTCTCTTGCCTCCCGAGTAGCTGGGATTACAGGCATGTGCCACCATGACCAACTGATTTTTGTATTTTTAGTAGAGATGGGGTTCACTGTGTTGGCCAGGCTGGTGTCGAACTCCTGGCCTTAGGTGATCTGCCCACCTTGGCCTCTCAAAGTACTGAGATTATAGGTGTTGAGCCACTGAGCCTGGCCTCCAGTATTTTGTGATTACAACTAGTGATGCAATCAGTAATGTTGTACATGTAAATATTTTCATTTTCTGGAGGGTGAATTCCTGAAATAAATAGGTGGGTCAAAAGATAAATTCATATGCAGTTTTGTTACATATTGTCAAATTTCCATCCAAGAGAATTGTACCACTTTGCATCTTAGTGTAGTTTAATTTGCATTTCTCATAAATGAGGTTGAACAATGTTTCATGTGTTTAAGGGTCATTTTAATATCTTTTTTTGGATGAATTGTTTGTTCTTGTCTTTCCCTACTGTGCTTGGTTTCTTTGACTTTTCTTCCCTTGCTTAAAAAATTTATTAAATGACCTTGCTTTTTAAGAGTTCTTTATATATTAGGATTATGCTGCAGATATTTTCTCCCAGAGTGTGTCAGCAGTCTTCTAACTTTGCTTCTGTTATTTTTTTGCCATGCAAAAATTTTTATTATGTAATCAAATTTAATCTGCTATTGCCTCTGGGTATTAAGTCAGAGTTAGTAGTCTCTCCCTGAACTGAGGTTAAAGGGGAATTCACTTCTTTTTGCTTGTATGGTTTCATTTTTTACATTTAGTTCTCTGATCTGTTTGAAGTGTATTCCTTGTATGCTGTGAGGTATGGATTTGTTTTTTCTAAACGGCTAATTGATTGTCCCACGCTTTTATTAAAAACCTGTTTTTGCCCTAGTGATTCATGATAATACTTTTATTGTATTTTTAATTTCCATATATACTTTGTATATTTCTGGGCTTTCTGTTCTATTTCACTGATCTGGTTATCTGTTCATGTGCCATTTTACAATTTTTTAAAAAATAATTTTGCTTTAATTTTTATTTAGAGACAGGGTCTTTCTCTGTTGCCCAGGCTAGAATGTATGATCATGGCTCACTGTAACATTGAACTCCTGAACTCAGTCCTCCTGTCTCAGCCTCCCAAGTAGTTGGGACTTGAGGCGCCTGTACCATTATTACAGTATTTTAATTATGGAGCCATATAGTATGCTTTAATGTCCAGTTGTGGTGCTTGGTTCTTATAGTTTTTATGTTTCAGTATTTTCCTAGCTATTATTGTATGTTTGCTTTTTCATATCAACTTGAATATTAATGTCTAGCTCCATAAAAACATTTGTTGGTAAACTTATTGGGATTTCATTAATTTTTTTCTCGATTTTTAAAAATTGATAAAATATATATAAAAATAAAATTCCCCATCTTAACTGTTTTTAAGTGCACAATTCAGTGGTATTGAATACAGTCATAATGTGGAACCATCATTACCATCCATCTTCAGAGTTCTTTTCACCTTGTAAAACTGAAACTCTGTACTCATTAAATAGTAACTCCCCATCCTCCCAGCCCCTGACAATCACCATTTCACTTTCTGTCTTTTATGATTTTTGACTACTTTATGTACCTTTGTAAGTGGAATCAAACAGTATTGATTTTTTTTTTTAATTGGGTTATTTTACTTAGCATGGTGTCTTCTTTTTTTTTTTTTTTTTTTTTTTTTGTTGTTTTAGAGTGAGCCTTGCTGTCACCAGGCTGGAGGGCAGTGGCGCCTTCTCGGCTCACTGCAACCTCTGCCTCCGAGGTAATTGGGATTAAAGGTGCCACCACCACACCCAACTAATTTTTGTATTTTTAGTAGAGATACGATTTCACCATGTTGGCCAGGCTGGTCTTGAACCCCTGACCTCAGGTGATCTGCCTGCCTTAGCCTCCCAAAGTGCTGGGATTACAGGTGTGAGCCACTGTGCCTGGCCTAATGTTCATTATTTTCTAAGGCTAAGTAATATTTCACTGTATGTATATACTCTATTTATCCATTTGTTCACGGACACCTGGATTGCCTCCACATTTAGCTAGTAATAATGCTGTTATGAACATGTGTGTACAAACATCCCCACAGGGCCTTGGTTTCAGTTATTTTGGATTTATATCCAGTAATTTAAACCCACTCCAGGAATTACTGGATTATATCGTAATTCTGTTTTTAATTTTTTTAGGAACTGCCATTCTGTTTTCTACAGTGGCTGCACCATTTTAAATTCCCACCAAAAATGTACAAGACTACTAATTTCTCCGTATGTTCACCAATACTTACTTCATGTTTTAAAAAAAATTGACAATTGTACATGTTTACAGGGTACAGTGTGATAATTTGATTCATGTATGCAGTTTAATGATCAAATGAGAGTAGTTAGCATATCCATTACCTCAAACATTTAAATTGTTCTTTCATTTGGGAACATTAAAAACTGTAGTGCTAACTGTAGTCAGCCTGCAGTGCTATAGAACACCAGAAATTATTCTTCCTATCCAACAGTAATTTTGTATTTGTTAACCAACCTCTATCTTCCCTCCTCACTAGTAACCACTATCTACTCTGTAGTTCTATGAAATAAACTTTTTTAGCTCCCACATGAGTGAGAACATGCACTATACATTTTTGTGTACCTGACTAACATACTGTTCTCGCATACTTGTCCATGTTGCCACAGATGACAGGATTTCATCCTTTTTTGTAGCTGAATAGTATTCCATTATTTATATATGCCACATTTTCTTTATCCATCCATCTGTTGATGGGCACGTAGGTTGATTCCATATCTTGGTTATTTTGAATAGTACTGCAGTAAACATAGGAGTGCAGATATCAATCTGACATACTGATTTCCTTTGTTTTGGATGTATACTCATTTGTGGAAATTGCTGCATCCTGTGGTAGTTCTGATTTAGTTCAGTTTTTTTGAGACAGCGTCTCACTCTGTCACCCAGGCTGGAGTGCAGTGATATGATCTCAGCTCACTGTAACTTCTGCCTCCCAGGTTCAAGTGATTCTCTTGCTTCAGCCTCCTGAGTAGCTAGGATTACAGGTGTGTGCCACCATGCCCAGCTAATTGTTGTTTTTTTCTTTCTTTTTTTAGTAGAGATGGGGTTTCACTGCATTGGCCAGGCTAGTCTCCAACTCTTGACCTCAAGTGATCTGCCTGTCTTGACCTCCCAAAGTGCTGGCGTAATCCACTGCACTTGACCTGTTTTTAGTTTTCTTCCGGAGCCTCCATACTATTTTTCTTAATGGCCATACTAATTTACATNGATGTAAGAGACAGACCAAGGCAGCTTCATTAGACAGAGTGATCAGTAAATGCCTCTCTACCAATGTGGCAATTAATTTAATGACAAAGAAGAAGCTAGTGATGTAGACGTCTGAGGTCAAAATACTGCAGGCAGAAGAACAGAAAGTGCAAAGACCCTGAGGTAGGGGCAAGCTTGGCATGTTTGAGGAACAAAGTGACTACTTCAGAGAAAAAGACAAGATGTGGAACCGGAGCCTGAAGACTTGCATAGCTAATTACCAAATAGTAGACGATTTTTATGGAATGGGCACACATTGCGGGGAGAATAGGAAGGAGGAGCAGCTCATCCAGCCTAGGCAATCAGGGAAAGCTGCCTGGAGAAAGTAATATTTAATCCAGGACCTAAGTGACAGGCAACAGAAGAGGCGATGAAGGTTTCTCTAGGCAGAGGGAATAGCATGTGCAAAGGCCCAGGGGTGGGGCAGAGCCTGATGCATTTATTAAGGGAATTGCAAGAAGCTGATGTGGTTGGATCCCAGAGCTGAAGTGTGGGATTAGAGGAAAGGGACTGAGGGTGCCCTGACATTTAGGCAGAAGGGCCAGGCCTGACCACACCCAGTGGGTCTGATCACAGAATTGAAATCGCCAAGAAGGCCATTTCAGAGTGGGAAGGAACTGGAGGCCGGGAGGCCAGCAGGGAGAGGGAGTGAAGGTGGAGCTGACAGTACCAGAGTGGGAGAGAAAAATTCCAGAGCCTTCACAAAGCAGAAAGGACTGACCTGGGTCAGCCTGGAACACAACGACGAAGACCTCGAAGAACTCAGAAAAGCATATAGCCATGTATCTTCTGACTTGGCGGTGGTCAAAGTGGGTTTTGAAGTCTGAAAGACCCAGAGCAAGCCTGGCTTGTCCACTTCCTAGCTGTGTGCAACCACTTCCCCAATCTAAGCCTCAACTTCTCCATCTGTGGAATGAAACTAGCACAGCCCACCTTGAAGAACTATTGTGCAGATTGGAAGTGAGTGTTCAGGAAAGCTCTGGGCATACAGTAGGTGCTCATTCCCTTCCTTGACCCTTGGCCTCAAGGCCCCCACTTTACCTCCCTGGGCCTCTGTTTTCTTGGCTGTAGACTGGGAATCAGAATGCTTTGCAGTGCTGCGGGCGGGAGTTAAAGAGACGACTTTGTGGGCTTGGAACACACCCTACAGAGTGGTGATCATGGATTTCTTCTCTTTCTTCCTCCCCAGCAGGAAGAGCTGAGACAGGATGGCCTGGCAGGGGCTGGTGCTGGCTGGCTGCCTCCTCCTGCTCCCCTCCGCCACAGCGGACTGCCTGTCGCGGTGCTCCTTGTGTGCTGTAAAGACTCAGGATGGGCCCAAACCCATCAACCCCCTGGTAGGTTTCAGGCAAGGTTCTTCAATGCCCAGGTCCTGGGGCCTGTGCGAGGGAGCTCAGAGAGGGGAGGGGCAGGCCTGGGCAGCTGCATGCTGTCCTGTAGATCCATCCCACCTGTGCAGCGTGGCAGGCATCCTGCCCTCTAGATGGCCTGGAAACGAGGCACTGCTGTTTTCCTTCTCCCATCCCCACCCCACACCTCATCAGCATGGGTTCATTCAGGCCAGGGCAGAGACTCAGGTTTCCAGGGAGAGTGATGCCTGGCAACAGGGAGTGTCATCCCTGAGGTGGTGCTGACTTCAGCCATCAGCAGCTCTAGATTGACTTTTTAGGGCTTCTTATTCCTGGGCTGTTGGGCACCTCCAAATCTAGACAGTTCCATGAGAGGAGCTGTCTCCACTGCCCCTAAATGCAAAGATTGACAGGATCTGGTTGGCAGGATCAAAGCCTTGACCCCTCTCCTGGGTCTTAGCATCTCCTTGGTTTCTTCTTCTGCAAAATGGAGGTGATTCCATGAGATAGTGAAAGAAGTGATTTATTTACTTACTTTTTCCGAGACAGGGTCTCACTCAGTAGCCCAGACTGGAGTGCAGTGGCGCCATGTAAGCTCACTGCAACCTCCGCCTCCAGGGTTCAAGCAATTCTCCTGGCTCTGCCTCCTAAGTAGCTGGGAATGGGTGCACACCACCATGCATGCTAATTTTTGTATTTTCACCATGTTGACCAGGATGGTCTTAGACTCTTGACCTCAAGTGATCTGACCACCTCAGCCTCCCAAAGTGCTGGGATTACAGGCGTGAGCCATCATGCCTAGCCAGAAGTTATTGATTTGTTTATTTTTGTTGTTTGAGACAGAGTCTTGCTCCGTTGTCCAGGCTGGGGTGCAGTGGCGCTATCACAGCTCACTGCAACCTCTGCCTCCTGGGTTCAAGTGATTCTCGTACATCAGCCTCCTGAGTAGCTGAGACTACAGGTGCACACCACCACACCCAAATAATTTTTGTATTTTTGTAGAGACAGGGTTTTGCCATGTTGGCCAGGCTGGTCTCAAACTCTTGGTCTCAAGTGATCTGCCCACCTTGGTCTCCTGAAGTGCTGGGATTACAGGCATGAGCCATTGCACCCGGCAAAATAAGTTATTTAATATATAATTATAGCCACTGAGAGATACACAATGGGTCAGGTCCTGCTCGTGCTCAATCTCAAAGAGCAGCGTGTTTAAGCACAAAGACTCATCGCATTGGACGGCCTGGGTCCAAGTTCCAGTATTATGTGCTGTTGTCATCGTTATTATGATTGAATGCTCCCAATGGCCCTATGAAGTGATGCCCTTGCCCCCCACCCCAGGCCTGATGAACGCTCCCGTGTCCTCTCGTGTGCGTTCTCTGCCATTCTGCACTTCTCTGTCCCGCTTTACCAAGAGTTAGCAGCGTGCTTCACACCTGCGGAAGCCTGGGAGAGAATTGGTATTTTTAATGGAGATGGGATTTCCTGTCTGGGAGTCAGACGTGGAAGGGGAAGGGTGAGCAGGCAGCACACTACGGGAAGATCTTACTTCCAATTCTGGCAGTTGCCACCTGCAGCCATGTGTCCTAGGTCCAAAGCCATTTCACCTCTCCAAGTCTGTCTTCTCTTTCTCACAGGCACAAAGTCCCTCCCTTTATGCACCACCAGGAGTATGAACGTGGGTAGCCCAGGGCCTAGCAGCAGTGCTCATTTTGGTTTTCTCAGACACTGGACAGGGGCCTCTGAGGCAGAGCAGTGCATGTGTTTTGATCATTTGATAGGTGTGACATTGCCACTGTGGTCTTTTTGGGTCTTTTGCAGATTTGCTCCCTGGAATGCCAGGCTGCCCTGCTGCCCTCTGAGGAATGGGAGAGATGCCAGAGCTTTCTGTCTTTTCTCACCCCCTCCACCCTTGGGCTCAATGACAAGGAGGACTTGGGGAGCAAGGCGGTTGGAGAGGGGCCCTACAGTGAGCTGGCCAAGCTCTCTAGGTCCTTCCTGAAGGAGCTGGAGAAAAGCAAGCTCCTCCCCAGTATCTCAGCAAAGGAGAATGCTCTGAGCAAGAGCCTGGAGGATAAGCTCAGGGGTCTCTCCGGCGGTTTCGGGGAGGGAGCGGAGTCTGAGCTGGTGAGGGATGCCCAGCTGAATGACGGCGCCGTGGAGACTGGCACGCTTGATTTCGCTGAGGAGGACCCCAAGGAGCAGGTCAAACGCTACGGGGGCTTTTTGCGCAAATACCCCAAGAGGAGCTCAGAGGTGGCTGGGGAGGGGGACGGAGATAGCATGGGCCACGAGGACCTGTACAAACGCTATGGGGGCTTCTTGCGGCGCATTCGTCCCAAGCTCAAGTGGGACAACCAGAAGCGTTATGGCGGTTTTCTCCGGCGCCAGTTCAAGGTGGTGACTCGGTCTCAGGAAGATCCCAATGCTTACTCTGGAGAGCTTTTTGATGTATAAGCACCTCTCATCATGGAGCAGAGTCAGGAGCATCCATCCCCTGACATGTTTTCAGGTTGGAGTTCATTCATTCATCCTCTTGTATATGCCCCTTCCCCATGCTCAGCTCAGCATTGTGTACAAAATATCCAAGCTCAGCCCACCTGTCTTCTGCCTGGGAGGATGGTATTTCTCTGGGGTCTGTGATGGGGAAGGGTGGATGTCCCCTCCCCACAATAGGCTTAGTGCTTGGCTCAGATGCCTAGACTTTAAAATTACCACCAGCAGCGGCAGCTTGTGATCTCTGTCCTTTCAACCTGTTCACATGGCTCTCCAATTCCCGGGAACCAGAGCGACGTGTTCTTTGTATCTGTGGGTCTATGATCTCTAAACTTAACGGATCACATGCCCCTCTCAGAAGAAATTGAGCATGCTCCCTCATGCAGATAGTATATGCTTCATAAACATGCAAAGAGTAGAGCTTTAAAATAAGGTAAATAATCATACACAGAAATTCTAACATCGTATTCCCAAATCTCAAAAGATCTCCTGTACCCCCCACTTTGGAGACCATGCTTTAGGTACAAAGCTTAAACATTGCCGTATATTGGATCAGGAACCCTTACAGCAGAGGGTCCAGTCGTCTAGTGGGTTTAATGTTTAGTCAGTGTACTCTGAGTCCTCATTGTTCGGAAAAGCACCTCTTGAAGAACTGACTTCCTGAGCTCCCAGTCATGTTGGTAACCTGGACAGTGCCCAACTCCTTACAGAAAGGAGTGAAAACCCCTTTCAGAAATGATTGAGTGCAGTCTCTTGAATGCCTAAATGATCAAGGAGGGAGCAAGGCAAACCAATTTGTTCTGTGCAACAAACTCAAAATGTGGACCAGTTCCCTCAGCCCTCATTAAACTAATTAAACTGATCGGTATCATGCTTCTACTCCATGGTGAACTGAAGCAGAGTCAAGTTGATGAAGTTAAGCACAACCATGTTCTTGAGCAGCTGAACTGGCTGCCAAGAGTCCAAGCCATCTGGCCCAACATATGCACTGGGCATTGGGTAAGGGACTCCAGAAGCAGCAGCTAGAAAGAGAAAAAGGCCCTCTTCAACCCCCATGATGCTTCTTTCCTCTTAATGTCTCAAAATAAAATCAGAAAGAGGAATAAAATGATTAAGTGCTTAAGTCCAAATGAGTTCCCTTGATTCAAATAACCCTGAACCAGAGGCAGAGACCTCCTGATGTCTTGGTTTCAGTCAAAGCCCTCTCTCTCTGTCTCTCATTTGCGCTGTCATTCCCAGGCATTTTATTTTGGTTTGTGGCTCCAGGAGATGGGGCTGGATAGGAGAGGAAACAGGCTTGAATTTGGATAATTTGTATAAGATGCTGCTGAGCACATCTCTTCATGTGCAGTCCCCAGGTATCTGATGATGTTCTGAAATGGATAGATTGTTTCAGAGTTATCCTGTGTGCTTTTAAAAAAAAATCCCATTTATGCAATTTACTTGGAATTTGCTTACTCTTTAATGGGCCTGTGTAATTTCCTGCTCCTCCAGTACAATAAATAAAAGATGCTGATGACTTGGTGGGTGTGTGTGTACATGCACGTGCACGTGTGTGAGCCTCATTCCTCAAAGAGAGAGAAAAAAACATTTCCAGAAAAGAGTGCTAGGGAATAAAGAGTTACACACACACACACACACACACACACACACACACACACACACACATTCAGGTTGGAAAACCAAGTGTGGGATAACACAAAGAGCAAAAACGGTAAAGTGTCACAGCCTCAAATTTGAACATTGGATCTCTGCAACCTTGATTAAGTCATTTGGTTTCTCTCAGCCTTAGTTCCTTCCTCCGTCAAATAAAGACTAATAGTGCCAATTTTGTAGACCTGCTGTGAGGGTTAGATGAGATCATAGATGCAAAGGTCCTGGTGCACAGTAAGTGCTCAGTAAATGAGTTTTCTTTCCTACATTGTCTTAAGGGACGGTGACAAAGCTGGAGCATTGAGTAACACAGTGAGGAGAGTGGGGAGAGGTGCTGCAGAGGGAGTCTGCGTCCCACATAATTCCCATGGGTCGTTTCCTATGCCAGGTGACCAGGACAGGAGATATAGCCATGTCCCTAGACAAGGATGAGTGAGTTAGGGATGAAGGATGCTCTAGCCATTGAATGGCATAATGTTCTTTACTAAAATGATATTTTGCATTCAATGGTGTCAATAAGATGTCTTTAAACAGGATGAGTGTGAGATTTAATGGCTACAGACCTCATGGGTTCCATTTGGACACTGGCTTTCTGAGTGACTTTATAGAAGACTCAGGGTGAGGAAAGTCCCATTCATTCTCTCTTTCATTCAACAAACTCTTAATTAAAGGTCTACTGTGTTTATCAGGCCTTTTGTAGATGGTAGAAGTATAGAAAAATGAAATGGACAAGGTCTCTGCTGTTATGAAACTAACAGTCCAGTAGGGGAGAGAGAAACAAAACTAAACAAAAATATAAATCAAAAATTTAAAATAATGGTAATTGTTGGGAAATAGTTGGGATATGGAGATAAAGGATAACAAGGGTAGAGGAGAAACCTCCCCAGGGTATTTAGGAAATCTTTATCTGAGGACTGTGTCATTCTTGATAGTCATAGGATCATCAAGATGAAAGGAACCTAAGGCTTGAGTTCATCTTATCCATCCACCTACCCTGTGTCTTGGAAAGTTCCATCTTTATGTCAGACTGAAGTTCAGGTTTCTGTTATTTTTACCCATTTAGTCCTGATCCTGTTGTCACTAGCCTGGCAGATTCTCTAGGGAAGAACTGTCTGCCACTTGAAAACAAGTGGACTCCTATCTCCAATGGGTTAAACAAATAAACAACAACAACAAACAAGTAATCTGTTGGTTCACGTAAATGAAAAATCTAGGGATATTTAGCTTCAGGTAGAGTTTGATCAAGGGACTCAATAAGGATATCACAATCTCTGCATCACTAGGCTCTCTTCTCCCCTGTATTGGGTTCATTCTAAGGCTCTACGTGCTTTTAAGATGACTGGCAGAAGCTCTGGGTTATACCTGCATGCTATTCTCACTGCAATTTCAATCAAAGTTTCCTGACATCTCATTGGCTTTGATTGGGTCATGTGTCCCATCCCGAGCTCATGCCAATCTCTGTGGACAGATGGATGTGATGCTCTGTTTGGTCAGAGCCGAATCACATGGACACCACTGGAGCCAGGGATGGATTTCACCCCACTCAAAGTAGTGGAGAAGAAAGCGGGTAGTTCTCAAGAGGAAAATGGAGCATGGATCACAGGAGAGCAAATGAATGCTAGACTTCTGAGGGTATAGAGTAGGAATATGTTGTGAAATCCAAGTCAGTAAAAGTATTCAAGCAGATTAAAGTTTATTATCAGTGTGTCAATTTTGACACAGGGTAGGTATATGCCAGTGAGTAAAGAGAGCTGGTGGGGGGTGGGGCCAACTGGAGAGTATATTCTGTGGGAAACGTGGCCCTAGAGTGGCAAAACCTTCTCTGATTTCCAAGAGACTGCAGAGATCTTGATGTGCATGCGACATCTGTTTTTCAAACTCTAGGCAGATAAATTTTTTAAAGTATTGAGTAAGACAAACAATAACATGTTTAGGATAAGACACAGTACCCTCTCACCACTATTTTGTGAGTTCTTTCTAAATCTTTTCTTTTTTATGAAAAATACTCCCTTTTTCACTTTAATACTTTCCCCTTATGCAAGGAGGTGCAGAACACAGTTGTTCCGGACTTTCTTTTCTGGACTGATTTCCTTTGGTCAAGGAAGTACATCTGCATAGGATGGAAAAGGTTTGATAGAAGCCACAGAGGATGGGGCTCAGATTCTGCTTCCGTAGGTGACTCTGAACAAGCCACTGAATGCCACTGTGCCTCAGTTTCCAGTCTGTCAAATGGAAAGAAAAATAGTGACTTCACTGGATTCAATAATATGTTCAGTAATATGAAGTGCAAGTGATACATAAGAGGTTTATGACTCCTAACTGTCTCAAATGGGTCAAATAAATAAACAACAACAAAAACAAGTAATTCATTGGTTCACATAAATGAAAAATCCAGGGATATTTAGCTTCAGGTAGAGTTTGATCAAGGGACTCAATAGGGATATCATGATCTCTGCATCACTAGGCTCTCTTCCCTGTATTGGGTTCATTCTAAGGCTCTATGTGCTTTTAAGATGACTGGCAGAAGTTTTGGTTATACCTGCATGCTATTTTCATGTTGTTGCTCCCTCTTAAAAGGGTGTGCCTCTGATTATGGTATTTCTGAAGTCACCTGAGGCACACACCTTTTGAAGGGACAAAATTATGCTGGTGGTAAGAAAAGGTTGAAATTAAGTTTTGTTTTTTTTTTTTAATAGAGCTGAAATATACATGCTATAAAAGCATACTTCTCTTAAGTGTGGCGCTCAACAGAGCCTTGCATTTACATACACCTCTGTGGTCACCACTCAGCTCACACTAGAGAACATTTCCAGCATCCAGAGGGCTCAAGGAGATCATTTAATAGGCTGTTTGTGGGGGATGTGGAGCAAGCCAGAGTTAGAATTGGAATAAAAATATCGACGGCCTTGCGGGGTACCGGTTCTTTCTCCATGCCACAAAGGCCACTGTGCAGTGATCACAGAGCGGGCATTGGTTAAGGGATGCCAACATCCTGGTAACCTTAAAAGAGCACGTTACTAATAAGCACACGGTTTCCACGACAACGCCGTACACCGTCACTAGCGAGGAAAGTCTTGTCATAATGATCACGGCAATCATTACGATCCCTCGGATTTGGATCACCCCACCCCCACTCCCGGCTCCAAGCTCTTCACACAAATAAGCCCAGCCATGGGGCTTGTCTGTTAATTAAAGGCCCCAAAGTGAAAACAACAAAAATCCCTACGACAGTGTCAGGAACAATGGTTCCCTAATAGAAGTCATCTCGGCATTCTTGATTCATGCGCTGGCTCCATGTCGCCTCCCATTAGCTATGCAGATTTATAACAGAGATTTATAATCACCCCTCTAATATGTAAATCTGCATCTCTGTTGCGTTCCCCCATGATTTGTCTCATCTCTGTCTAACTTACACCAAGCCCCATTATTCTTTGTTTTCAGGGCTCTCCTCATTCTTCATCACCTTTGACATGAAGTGTACCTTCTGAAAATGTGCGCCTGTCTCACTCTTAACCCCAGTTACACCTGCTGAGCTCCTGCAGGCCTGTCCTTAGGTTTGGGAAATCGGAAAGGGCTTTCCGGTTATTGGTAAGATCCATGCTCTGTCTGGACTTGCAGAAGGAGCACTGGGCTGAGAGTTTGACCTGGAGGCATGAGGATGGTCCCAGCTCTGCTAACCAGTCATTGGAGGTGGGCTTCAGCCTCTCCCAAACACTTTTCTCTTTGGTAGAGAAAATGATGGTGAAATATGGCAAAGTCTTTTGTCCTTTCAGAAGCTGACACATAACACCTACTCTGTACCTGTCAGTCAACTAAGCAACAAGGCCCCAGTTGCCTCATCCCAAAATGGGGGTGATGGTTTCTGCCCTGATGAATAGAGGGAGATCCTGCAAGAAGATACAGGGACAGTGTCCAGCCCAAAGTTGTTGCATAGTCAGTGTTAATGCCTTCCCCTCCCAGATTCCTCCAATCTTTGATGAACATTTACTAAGCCTCTGTTGTGTGCCCTGCACTGGACTAGCGGCAGGAGATTCAACAGCGATTAAGCAAAGTCTGTACTTCCTAGGGCTCACTTTCTAGCAGCGGAGACCAGTTGCCTACAAATGAACAAGGGTCTCCAGGCTGCAGGCACTTGCTAGTGCTGTGAAGGAAAATACAGGGTGAAGGATGCAAGTGACAGGGGGCAGGGAGGCTGTCACTCAGAGAGGGCACAAAGGCTCTGTGGCAGGTGACACTTGACCAGAGGTGTGCAGCAGGTAAGCCTGTAGGTATCTGGGCAAGGGAGTGAGGGAAATAGCCTCCCAGGAAGAGGGAATGGCAGATGCAAAGGTCTTGAGAAGGGTTTGTGGTTGTTTGTGTAGAGAATAGTAAGGAGCTAAGGGATAAGTAAGAGCAGAGGGTGGGGAACGGGGTGCAGAAGTGGAAGAGATCAGATGGTGGAGAGTGTCCCGCACCTTGCACTGCCCTGGTTTATACTGTCACCCGGTGTGACTGTGGAGCTGCTTTTACTCTCAAAGGATCCTGGTTTGGATAATTTATAGTACTGAAGCCCCACTTATGGGCCGTGGATGTTGACTTTTGACCCATGGCGAGATGGGAGCCACTGGAGGGTTTTCAGCACAGGAGGGACATGATCTGACCCAGATTTAAAGGGACTGTGCCGGCCTTGTACAAAGAGCAGGCTGCAGGGAGCACGAGGGAACATTCTGCGTCCCTGTCAGCGAATGGCACTCTCCAAAGTGAACACAAGAGACGGAGGTACCAGGAGTGACATGGGAGCTTTTCTTTGTTGAGATCAAAGCCCCAGTCACAGTGTTCTGTCCTTAATACGCAGCCACAGGCATCAGGACTCTCAGATACTGCCAGTGGAA